AGATGGTGAATAGGTTCCGGAGTAATTATTTGAATATGTCTTTGCTTAGTATTTCTATAGTTTCTTTAAGTAAAATTTGCTGGAGAAAATCCGCAATAGTTATGCATCAACCTTATACATAGAGGCAGGTAAAATGCAGGGGAAATAGAAAATATCAAAATAATCGTGTTCGACCGCCAGGAAATCATGTGTACTTTCACTAGATCCCCTAATGAATGACCGCTGAAAAGCTACTGTTTGTGAGATCGCGAAATGACTGTGCCACCTTCCAATTTTTCTCGAAGTAGGAAAGTCTAACTTCGCGAATATGGATGGTTTTTTGAGTAAATTCTTGTAGAGGAAATCAAGTAGATCATTTCTAGAAAAAAAACCGAACTCCAAATTCAAATTCTATCGAGAGAAAAAAAGCCGCGAAAAAATCCGCAATAATTATGCATCAACCTAATATCTTAGATAGCTTCGACGTAAACCTATGTCGTATTCTTTCACTCATGACACTTTCATGCTGAATGTTGAACGAATGTTACGAAATTCTGCAGTTACCAAAGAAGACCATTGAACTCCTATGTTTTCACTTGGAGAGTGCCGAATCTACATCAAGGCATACAGAGCTTTTATGCCTCCCAAGAGTCAATCCCTGCGCTTCGGACGACCGCAATATAAGTACTTCGGTTTGTCCTCGGTAGAGTCCATTTCTCTTTACTTCTTCCTATAACTTTCACATGGCTCTGTTCTCATATAGTTTCTTGGCAAGCAGCGGCAGCCATTTGCTTTAGCGCGGAAAGGTCTCAACACCAACTATGTATGTAGAAATCACCCAATGATCAGTGGATCCCCACCGAATGAGAGCAGAGCCATGTGAAAGTTATAAGAAGAAGCAATTCGGAATGGACTTTGCCAAGAACAAAACGAAGTACTTATATTGCGGTCATCCGAAGCACGCGGCGAATCTGAGGATGTTAGGCAGCCACCATCACGATATACCTTTCAGGTTCTTCTAGTGTAATAGTTAACTAGCTACCTGTTCCTTAGTACGTCTGAGCTCTCGTTCCGCTTCAGTGCAAAGCTGCTCCAGTTCCTTGTTCCGTCGCAGATACGTTTCAGCTGCGTACTCCTCCATCAGCTCAAGATTTATTTGCCTCATCACAAGATGTTCATTTTGGGCTTTCGCGTTTTTTATGGCCTGAATGAAGTTGTTCCGAAGCGTGAAAATCAAAATATACTGATAGCTTCGAAACAGCGATTCTCAAAAATATTGTCTTCACCTTCCTCCACTGAACTTTGTCGCCAGCTCGTGATGTGCCGGATGGACAAGGTAATTCACATCGACTCATATCCAGCTTTGGCATTTCCTTTAACAAAACACCCAATTAAATGGACTTCACAATGGATTACCATTGCATTATATCCAATCTGTGAGTAGAACTCGCCTGCTTCTTAGACATCCTCGCCTGTTCTTTGAGCATAGCCGGAGTAAGGAAAACATCGAAATCCGGTACGGGTAAGTGTTTCAGGTAGTTCTTCGTCGGACGGAAAACCCAAAATAGCAGATGGTATACAAAATTAATGCGTTAAAAGGATTTTCTCATTGAGTGAGCACCGAAAGAAGAGACAGTCTTGAAGGTGGAGCTCAATGTTACACATGTGTGTGTTATACTACCTTTATGCTCCGATCCCAGATCCTCCTTTATCTTTTCAAGTTCTTGCTCTTTCAGAAGGATTACCATCCAACCATCCAATATATCCAACTACTACTACTCCAACTATCCAGCTATCCAGTTACATTTCGCAAAAAGAAAAAACCATCAGTCTTAGAAACAGTTTGTCAGAGCACTAATTTCCACCATGCTAAGCCTAAGCGAAATCAAAAAAAAGGAGACCAACCTTGCATTCTTGATCAATCAATCTCAGGGCAGTCTGACGGTCTGCATCGTTGTATTCAGTATCAAGATATGGAAGCGCATCTACGAGAACCTGAAACGTTATTGAGGTGAAATCAGTTCACTTGGACTGCATAAATCAGTCCACAACTTCAAGAACGCAATGCGACTAGGTTGTTTCGGTATCAAATAATCACCTGTTCATCCTGATTGGCTGACAAGCCAGCTGATCCAGTTAATGCAAGTGTGGCCATACCTGGAAACTTTTTTATTTATAATTAGTGAACGAAACACCATAAATTAGGATATGAGCGCGATAATTAGAATACGCGATTAACGCATAACAACTGACGGACAAGAATAAACCACATTGTTTATTCATGACAAGAAAAACTTTCCAGAGAAATTCGGAATGATTGGCCTATCTAGCGAATAAAATTCTGTCAAAAGACATGATTACATATTGATGATGGGCCATAAAACTCTACTACTAGCAAAATAAAGTATGTATTGACAATGGTTCTCGTATATTACATCTGATATAAAATACATTAAAATTAGCATAACATATCGCGAAATTGAATAGACTTCTTAAAAGAAGCAGGTCAAAATGAAAAGAATGAAAGTAAGTAAAGAATTTCTGAGTTTCTATCATCTCCTATAACACTAAAACACAGACTCGAACAAAACGCTAGCATAAAGCTGTCCTTAAGGGTTTTACGAAAGGAAAGCAACATACAGTCTGAGCAAGACAACTTCATACAAAGTTAGGGAAACCGTCTACTTTTGGGGAAACTACTGTGCACTTACAGGAATGCAAACATACAGCAAAAGGCGTCAAAAGCGTGTCAGTTAATGCTTGTGTTCAAAAAAAAAAAACAATACTAGTGAATAAAAACCCAACTTCAAGCAAACAAAACAAGCCGCACACACAATACACGTTTCACAGAAACTGGTACACTGAAATGCTGAGGGAAAAATAATTGGGAAAAAAGGATTGTTTGTATGTAAAACGTAGGACATGGTCATAAGCTTATGCACCGATAACCTGCACGGACGAACCAGAGTTAGGGGAATCTTCGAGCCGTTTACACTTCGACGAAGGGCAACTAAGTGAAGCTTCGGCTAGTCTCCTGAAAGTCTCTCACATCAAAATAATCTGGAAAAAACTGTCAGGTTGACTCAAGCAATTGATGAGAGATTATTGTAACTGTAACTATAGGACTTGATGTTTAGTCAATTGCTGTTTAATCGCCGCAGTACGCGATGCGAAGGTCTCACAGGGTTTATCCAGGTTCTAGGCGATTTATGTACAGAACTTCAGATCTGGACGGGATCCGAACCCGTAATTGTGCTTTCCGGGCACCATGCTATAGCTTCCACTACCGAGACTAATCGCCAACCTTGTGTAACTGTAAACGAAGCACGAAATCTGAACAGCATAACATTGCTATACAGATTTTGCCAACATTTCATGAGTATACCCAAATGCAACGAGGCGAAAAAGCAAAATGATTCTCGTCGCAGGAATGAGTACTTGTGCATGTTGAACCTGACTAGATGTGTGCCAATCTAGGACTCAAGAGTCACCATGATCCCATATGAATAAAATGAATGAATGAAACTTTTTGGAAAGAATTCTATTGGGTACAACACACATGATATTATAATTTGGGAGTTAGCAATCAGGGGAAAGACGAAATTTATCTATCATGTGCAAAAAGAGCATGCTACGATTTTTTAGTGCCCGCTCAACCATGAACGCAGCCTTTAAAATATCCAAAAGAAGAGCGATAGGAGCGCTTTCCTCAATTTTTATTCCTTCAAAAACTAGACAATTTCTAGAAAGAGTGATTAGCACACTAAAATGCTCACACTCTGCACGTTAACTTAATACAGAAGCAAAGGCGTTCCTTAATGCTGAAGCTTTTCCCATTTTTTCTCCGAATCACAAAATGTTATATTGCAGGTGTTGGAAGCAACACCTTGAGCCATCAGGTATGGTTAAAAACATCCTTACAAAACGACAGGAAGGTACATTACCAACCACTGAACAGTCCGTTCAGTAGCAATCACAAATTTTTTGACGCTTACCGCATTCCCTACACGAGATACCTCGAAGCCAGCAGCGCAATTAATCCATGCGACCCTGACAGTTGACAGAATTGATAGAGATCATAGCCGCTGGCTCCTTTTCATAAAAAACATTTAGAGCTAAATTGCTGGAGACTGGAGCAGTACACTAATGAAGTACGAAGCAAAGGAATTCCTCGAAAATCCTCTCGAAGGTGAATCCTGTGAATGGGCTCCCTGTTTCTGTATTACGAGTCCATGCTTTCTGCCGCTTTGGCAATGCAATCATTCAAATGTGCATTTCTATCATGTGCATTTACGAGTGTATACAGATGTCCACGACAACTATATGAACCCTACCCCGCTCAGGGAAGCCTTCTAAAACCTCAGGACCACAACAGCATCTCGTAAATAAAAGGAACTAACTATAAAATAGTACTCTTCCAAAGATACGCCAAGTTGAACTCGTGCGAGCTGCAGGTGATTACTAACCTATGTATCCTAGCCCTACCCTAGCCTTGCTGAGATGGGCAACACGAGAACACCCGAGAGGAACTGCTGAAAGGAAAAAAGAAAAAACAGTACTGCTGGCTGAAGCGAGATAGGTTAAAAATGAGTATCCACATTACTCGATAGAGTTTGGTCATTAGAAGACTCAGATGGCTAGATTTCGATGTCTCAAAAGAACAGACTACGAGATATCGAGGAGCAACAGAAAAGACATTCAGCTTTTGCCCAGATATTTCCAAGAACCAAATCGACCGACCTACCTACAATTCAAGGCAGGACGGATACGCAGTACATACATAAATCCTTTGTTGCAGGGGTGCAGCACAATCTCGAATGAGCTGGGCACTATTCTATAAGGAGATTATCGTCGGCATGAAGGGGCACTCTTAACAGGACGACACTAACTTGGCCAGTTTTCTTGGTGCTAACTTTTCAAACACGTTGATTCTGTAAGGCTGGGAAGACACTGAAGTGAACGTCGACAGCGGACACTTAATCTAGCACCCTTTCGACCAAATCATGCATGATACAGAAAATCGGAAGGGTGGAAAGAATGCTGACTCATTTTGACAGCCTTTGTGAAATGTGTCGGCTCGAAACCTAACCAAACGAAGAGGATGTCGAGGAAATGATTTGCTCCTTTTGCACCATTACCACCTGCTGGATTACAATTTTCAAAATATATTGTTTACATTTGTATAGATCCTGCTTAAAACAATGAACAACTAGTTTCGTAGCTGAGTAGGACGTAAACAGCATGGCAAGCGTAGAGGGAAAAGCGTTAGGGTTGAGGAGAGAATGATCCTTGAAGTTTTCCAATACAGGTAAGCACAAAAGGGAAGAGAAGGGAAGACGAGCGTTTTGTGCTTCATAGGCAACATAGAACGCTTCAAGGCTTGGCTACAGATGTCAGCGAACCGAACAAGTGGACTGAACAGAACAGACTTGCGATGATCGCCGGAGTGCTTACCGACTAGATCTCTTGAAACGTCGAACCAATACCGAGCTGCCGCAGCAATAGACGCATTCTTTTGCGAAGACCTCCACAAACGAGATGATATTTGTATTTTGACTCCTCCCGACGAGTATCCACTAAACTAAAACGCGAAAAGAGGAATTGAGACACTACTAACGCCGCTCTGAAAGATTAATGGTCATCAGGGGGCTAAATGGCAAGTTACAGGTGTTGTAGTTAACGTTTGTCACCTCGGACCACATTTGCGGAAGTGTATCAATTTAACTTTGGTAGAGAACACATCCCATTCCATTCAGTCATTTTGACACCATTCCTCGAGCCTTATTTCTGCTATATGACAATCGCAATAAACATTAGTTTATGCACAGATATATGGATCTTGATTTTTTAGGCGTTTGATTAGCCACTAATAAACAGTTCCTCTGCAGTCGTGGAACCTGTTGGCAGAGAATGAAATACTCCATGAAGTTCTCATAATTCTTTGCTTGAATGGTGTAGAGTACAAAAGATTTGATTTCGCGGCAACAAGCATGTCTTACTAGCTACCTCGCAGGACCAATTGGCTAGAATATAATAATACAAAACCTCCTTTCCTCCTCCCTTTCGACGGTTTGCCACATACACAACAAAAAAACAATCCAAAAAGGAGATATGGGACGAATGGTAGCGCTAGCACTCAATCCTAATAAAGAGAAGACTGACTATGGCTAAGTGACTAATTCCTATTTAGTATTTGCGGCAAGGGCTTCAAGGAATTTCGAAGCCGCTCTTTCACGGGATGCAGTCTGCAGAGACCAAGTACAAAAGAAACTTTTGCTCAAGTGAAAAAAAAATTCTAAATGGCTTGAGGTATCCGAAGGTTCTGGGTGAAAAAAGCAGTTAAAGCGATAAAAACTACATTTGATATCAAATAAAATTTCCCTTCCTAGCATCAATTTTAGACGTTCTTGTAGGTTGTGCGTGGATGTCACCAGAGAGTAAAAAACAGATAGATTATAATAACTACCAAAAAAAAANAAAAAAAAAGGGAAAAAACAACGCACAAACCTTTTTGGAGGTCGTCGTCGAACGCCGTTGGGTTTGACGCACACATTAGTATCGTCGGTAGTAACCTTAACAGCAACATGTAAATAGAAAAAGTATCGGTGTGGTGACTCTTAGTCTCTCAGATTTGATTTGACGACAAATAAAAAAACATCTTCACGATCCCGAATTTAAGCTCTCGACACTTGGGCGTGAGCTCCCTCATTTTGGTGCCACTGAGCATACTTGAAGAAGGGGCCATGCCCGAGTCTGCCAAGTAATGTTTGAAAGAATGGAAAGTTCTACACATCGAAATTTGAAAACAGTGAACTCTTCAAACTCAGACGAATAGAACAGAATGAACTCACTTCCGTTTTGTCGTAAAGGCTGGCATTGGCTCGCAACCGCTGCAGCGCTGCCCATTCTCGTCGACTATGTTTCTGCGCAAACATGTCACAATTTACAGCGTAATTGGAGATAGATCGACGAACCGACGGGAAAAATTCTGTCAGTTTGTGCGACTGCTGCAAGATCAAACAAAATTCAGAGTAGAAAACGACAAACTCAGAGCTGTTGTAAAAGAAGATGTAATCATTCTCACCATGCTTTGAATCTTTTGACTTCGACGCCTGCTGCGCCCAACTTCCTGCGAAAACCGTTTTGAAGTCCATCCACATTCCCGCATCAAGATGCCCTACAATGCAGAACAAGATACAAACGAGATTCCCACCTTGTAATATATGGTGTATTAAGAGGGCAACGAATATCCTGCAGGAAAACATGCAGCAGTATTTCATAAGGAAGTTATCATAGTAAACTAATAGACGGTAGCATGTAGGGTGAGTGCACAGTGGCGAGGATAGCAAAGTTCAAATTCGGAGCTCGCTGCCCTCGCTTGACATGCAACTGTCCACAGATTATTCATTACTACTGAACATTCAGAAAAAGTAAATATCACGGTAATGAACGTTACAGAAACATAAGCAGACTTAAATACGAAATTTGCTGAGACACAAAGCTGATGCTGAACATTGAAAGCTCCTTCTGCTTCAGCAAAAGACTCATAAACACATTTTTCGAAAAAGTCCCCGCTGGCTACCTCATTGAAGGCAGTATAGGCTACTCAGAACTGTACGCATCGCAACGCAGCTAGCAAAATTATCGAATTTTGACACCGAACGTATGTGAAAGCCTTAATTTTTAACTGTGACGCTCACCTCAACCTTAGCCATGTTTCTTTGCGGAGCTGCAGGCAATTCTTTCTTGTCTTTCACTTCAGGACAGAGGTATATCGACGTTGCCTCACTACAAATCAAACTAAGCTTTCATGCAACAGAGTATTCGTCAAAGTAGCCTCACATATATATGTCAGAATTGGGGAAACCCTCAGGCAAAACGATCCGAGACTTCCTGAGCTTCTTCTTGATATTAGTGTCACTTGGGCGTATTGGAATCTCACCACGGAAATAACTTCTGAAACAATCGCAACTCAAAGCTACAATATCGTATTCGCCAGAGAACCACTTAAAACTGCCCCAAAATGGATGGCCCAAAATTTTCAAGACCTAACTCACCCAAACCGATCCAAAATAGTAAGTGCATGATCGTCATCGTTGATTGAGAATTCCGAAATAATTTCTCTAGCGGTAACAATTCCCACTCGACTGACTCCTCCTTGTAAGTAGTCACAACCGAGTAACAACGCCAACGCAACCAGGCGGTTTCGTGTTAAACCTTAAAAAGATGGCAGATATTCAAGCTATTCAAAGTGAGATCCAAAAAATAAATGAATGGCGCTATTTTCAAATAATAGTCCCTCATCCTCCCAATTCTAATTCATCACAAGTTACGGCCAACAGTTGAACGTACACTGGGTGCTTTCNAATTTGTCCATGGAGAAGAGATTGACGTAGCCTTCAATGTCCTTTCCACCATTTTTGAAATCCACCTACAAAAAAAAACCGGGGTGACATATCTGACCTTCAAAGGGTTTCTCATAACCAAAAATAGCGCAAAGTGAAAATGTGGAACTGTATAAGAAACGCTAGAGCTGCATTGATGAGGCAACTGTTCCGCGACTGCCGCGCGCGGCAAGTCGAGAGTCGAGTCGAGAAAACAAGATTTCAATGCTAATCGTTCGACCCACCACCCATGTTGCGAATAACGGTTTCATACAATGAGATACTCCTGCTAGCTGATTAGTAGTCTGTAATTACCTTGTATAAGTTCCTTCCGCCATACAAAAAGAAATCAAAGTCTGAAGTGATACATCCGTCGACGAGGCCTGCTTGCTCTAACTGAGCACACTGCGCCTCTCCATCAGAACTACCCATAACAACAGGTACACCCATATTATTAAGAAGTTGCTGGAATTGAAGAAGGAAATTCTATGCAAAATAACTATTTACCTCAACACGAAAACTAAGTGGACATAAATTTAGAGCTTCACCCACCTCCGCATTGTAGACCCGTTTCTTCAACTCGTTATGCGCATCAAGATTCCACCCGTTACCGCCACTACGTTTGGACTTCTTTATATGTAAATTACCACTATTTGACTATAAAATTAGGAGTGGTGTTCCATATTAGATACAATCGTAATTCTAATTTGGAAAAGAACTTACACAACTATGAAATTCAGGAGTAATCATGTCGAAAACAACAACAGGTCGAATTCCAACTTCTTGCAGACGCTGAATTCGATTGAAGAAAGTAACAAGATATGATGCTCCCGACATGAAGTGGTTCGCACAACCGCGTGATGACTCGTAGAGCCAGATGTGACCATCTAGGCAAAGATTGATCACACACGAAAAAAGTATAATAAATGTACAAAGAGGAAGTTCAAAAGATTTGTTGAACTACTCACGTGGAGGCTTTTATTCATCCAAACTCGGCATTTCTACCTCAACCCATGAGCTATCAATAAGGAATAAACAACTTACAACAAGATAAATGTTCACCGCTTGTCAACCGGATTAAGTTGATCTATTCGTAATCTAACTCCTCTCGTTCTCCTTTTCAAATTGTTCCCATACAATCGATGCGATTATACTCATTTTTACATTTTTATACGATTTTTTCTGGCCCTGTGCTAGAAGGACCAAATTGCAACCTAAGGTGAAGGGAGACGTAGCCATATACGAAATATTCAGTTCATATTCTTTGGCCGGACCCCAACCTCCTTATGACAAAGTTGAGTCGTCTGACTAACCACTTCTTTTACGAAAAAAAAAAAAACATTTCTGAGCACAAAATTTCTTGAGAGGTATCCGTAACTAAACTACAACCTTGCCACACGACCCAAAAGTAGGGGAACTGGCGTAAACACAAAAACACAACCGCTGTTCAGTATGAGCCATGCTTACGATTGCGATTACGTCTGGATATGTTGCTTTACAGCTTCACAACAATCACTCATTAAGTTATTCAGCAAACGATTAACTGCAGCCTTGGCTTGTGCCTAAAAATGTGGTTCAGTGATCAAAAATTATTACTGTCATTTTCAGAAACCGTTGTGCCCTTGTTATCTTCGCGGATATAAAGCACCAACGAAAATCCCTCCCCCTCCCCCAAATTACTGGTCAGTTAAATTTTGTCGTATGATACCAAAACAGGCACGTCGTGATCCTTGGTTGAGCCGCAAGTCACTTTGAAGTATCGTGTACAACAAAGTAAAGAGTAAAGATTATACTGTGAACAGGAAAAGGTTGAAAAACTACTAATTCTTGCTCACAAAGGCTTCAAATAAGACCTTACCAGATGCTACCAGCTCCTGTCAACCACCACCTATCTACGTTCCCGCTATAGTTCACATCTTATGCCAAGTTGTCAAGGCTAGATTGTTGATGCAATTGTTCTGGTGGTTTTTAAGATTTCATATTGGCTCTTACATCGTTATCGGTTTCTGGTAACAACTGTCTTCAGTCTCGCGGTCACATGGCCCTCCATAGTGCTGAAGTTGCTTGATCAAAATAAAGGATGTTGCAAAGAGCTCTTCGATCACATGGTTCCTCATCACCACTATCAGTTCCCGTCACAACCCAAATCATTTATCAAGGTGCTAAAGTTCCATCTTGAAACGAAGGGCTTAACAATTCCACGGTTTCTTGCTTCCTACGGTTCCTTGTCAGCCGCTATCAGATGCTACTAGATCCTGTCACCAAGCACCTTTAAAACCCTCACACCACACGTTACTGTTAGGATTCTACTGTTAACGCGAAGGGCATTGATAGCTCCTGTAGCTCCTTCTAATCTAGCTATTAGTTCCTATGAAGTGGTACCAGTTACTATCGTCTACCATCAGTGCTTCCATGCTTCTATGCTGCCGCTCGTATTCCTCACAGTTATGAACACTCGACTAAGGGGACAGAAGCTATGGAATTCTCGTCAAACAAACACACACACATACACATACACATACACACACACATATATACACAGATACACACACACGCTCGTATTCCTCACAGTTATGAACACTCGACTAAGGGGACAGAAGCTATGAAATTCTCGCCAAACAAACACACACATACACATACACATACATACACAGATACACACACACTAAAACCCACCGACAAATCAACAAACTTGGCTGCCTATATATTGCTGGACATTCATGTACCACAAAAGAGACAGTAAATTCGTTGCAACTAGCAAGTCAGCCACTGAATAATTGATGAAGAAAACACAAGTTATTCATTAAAGTAGCCCTTTAAATTGGGCCCCTCAGTTGACTGAGTTCCCCATCAGCAGTGGATAGCACCTTGCTACTGCCCTGATTGAACACCTCCTCCCTTCCCACCTTTGAAGCCCCCTCTAAAGTCATGGTATTCGCGCTGAGTTCCACGAGCCATTTTGTTTAAAAGCCCAGTTAGCTTCTTAATTCACGATACTAACGTCTCGATACCTTCTCTATTCCAAAACTTGTCAAGTGTAACTGATTTATGTAAGAACGAGTATTTCCTCAACAAATATTAAATAATTGCTGTTAGCATTTCTTCCTCGCCGTAAAATGAAAAAATCCCACCCATAGGGCACGCCGTTTCTTATTGTTAGTCACAGTTTCGGCTGAGAAACAGAATCACGCTTTTCAAAAAGAAACTACCAGTTGCTAACGTGGCTGACATCAGTCGCTACTGGCTGCCTTCAGACTTCAACGACCACCGACCGACGGCCACGCGGTGACAACACTGGACATATTGTGTCCATCTGGTTGCATTCACACTTCGACGTGCGGGCCGGTCGCATAGCCGCTCGCACGCCGCACGCAAAAACGTACCTGCGTTTCCACCTACGTGCCGGCACGCACGCCGAAGTATGAAAGCAGCCTCTGGTGGACAGTGAGCACCGTCGGTCGTTCGGTCGTGGAAGTTTGAAAGCAGCCACTGGCTGTTGCGCGCGTTCCGCTGACAACTATCAGAGACCGTCCACAGCGACGAATGCATGGTTACGGCGTGCGACGTCGACTCATCCGGAATAAGACTGTTGAGCGCCATCACCCATTCCAGGTCCATTTTGTGCGCGACGTTCACAAGATGCATGTTTTGACAACAGGTATGTACCACTGCTCGTTGTGTTTCAAATAAAAAGAAATTCAACAAAGCACTAGAACAGAGACAGAAACTTGCTATTTGGGATTTTCGGAGGACAAATACGTATGATTTTACTGCATATCTCACGGACGTTCTTGGGGAAAGCAACCATAAAATCACTCATAAAATCTGAAATTGTCTCCTGCTCTCTCGCGATAAGTAGTCAAGCTACTGGATATGAGACATTTTACAAAACAATTCACCGATTGCCAAAGTTTTGCTGCGTAGCGAGGACGTCGGAATCTGTTCTGCGTACTTCTGCATGTGTTCCCATATGCCAATGACCCCCATTTTGCTGTAGTTGCCCAGCACTGGCGAGCATTAGGTGCACAATGCCCACGATTCCCTGTAAACTTAAATACAACAGTCGATGACTGAAAATCGCTCTACAATTAAGAAGGATCGGAAAATCGAAACGAAACAGAACCGAAATCAATAGACAAAAGTGATGACTAATCAGAAAAACAACACAGCTACGTGTTAAACAATTGAGAGGCCGCATGAGGACGCAGCCCAAGTCACATGAATTGAGGCTGGGATATGATTATAGGGAACACCAACTACTCTTACTCTGGCGATCTGCCCTTTGTACTAGCGATTTCAAAAGGAGTTACTGATACTACTGCAAAAGCTGAAAGGAACAGTTAAGTCTTCTGCTAAAAAAGGAGCACTAGATAAGAATAACGAGTAGCTGCAACAAATGAGCACCCATCCAATGTTATCATCATGTAAACGTAGAGATGTCACACAATATTGAATGGTTTCAGTCAAAGTGTCATCAGGTCGATAGGGCCTGTGCTAAACGATCGGAATCACTCATTCATGTTGAAATCTAACATCTCTCGGAGTGCTTGAAGCATACTTCACTGATTCTTGTTTTGCATTACAACTCAATACAGCTTTTACATTGGATACTTTGTACTTAGGATACACAATAAAACAAGTATACATTAAATAAAAAGCGAAGTCGTACACAAAAGTAACTGTTAAACCTAAAGTCAATTGATGAACGGAAAAAAACGAACCAAAGCATGCGTTCTGAATGCAATGAAAATTACTTGTTGTAGCAACAGTTGTCGATTTGCGGGGTATCGATCGACGTCGCCGGCCACGCCGACGTCGATGCCGCACCCTAGCTTTTAGTGAGAGGTGCGGAGTATAAACACAGCCCATCAGCCTCTAGATAGTAGCCTCGTTCTAATGCTACTTGGGCGATTCCCCTCCGTTTGTTGTCGCTTGTGTGAACGTAAGATTTCCCTGCTGCGAGATATCGGCCAGAGACGGGTGCTGTCCTGATACCCAAGTTATAGCTAGAATTTAAGCTCTATGAATGCGCCCACTAAAGCAATCTTTTATTGTACTAGTAGTTGCGTACAAGTAGTAGCATGCAAGAGTCCAGTACACCACATGTATCACAAATATGACATCTGCAACCCACCTGCCCTTATACGACGTCGGAAACTCGGGCAGGACTTTGGGCGATGGTGAGGCGAATTTACCTAATTTTCGACCCCTACCATGGTTAATTATAATAAACACCCTTTGCCGCCTGTCGCCCACGGGTGGCGGAATTTCTACCAAATTCCCACGGTCAGCGGCAGTGGTGCCGCGACGACTGCTAAATACTTGCAGCGAGCGCGACACGCCGTCCGGGGAGAACATACCGAACTTGTCGCCAATCATTTCAAATGTTCTCCACAAAACTGCATTCTGAAGTTGAATTTGTATCATGAAACATTATATTTGAAAATGTTTATCTGTACTAAAAGGTGAAACATTTTACCTGAGGATGAGTTATGGTTTAGAAAGAAATTACGTCCATGGGGTGGAAGGCTGGGTCAATTAAAATTAGCCAAACCCGCAACTATATCATCCTCTATTTGTTATAGCAAAAAATAATGTAGTAATATACGCTTCCCAAAAACATAGCCTCTTACGAACATCTCGTTATTGAGTTGTGCAACAAATACTCTAACTTTCTGCACGATCCCACTCACCCCGACGCTTCTTCTCCCCTGGTCAAAAAAGAGTCCATTCCCATGGCTAAGAATTCTTGCAAGACGTCCCTACAGGGCCGCAAAGACATTTCTGTGCTCTAATGTTGTCGGAATGTAGTGTACACTCCTCCCACTCCCTACTTTGAACTACATTCCCACCGAGTTCCCCTAAAAACCATGAAGTGAGCCGTATGCACATGTCAAATACCCTGTTAAATGCATGCGCCTCTGCCACTATTTGACCCATGGCAGAGAAAAATGTCAAATGGAAGTTCGCACCCGTTGTACGAATGCAAGTAACAGTGA